AAGTTTCGTAAGACAAACATTTTGAACAATATGGATGGGTGTGTTAAATAAAGACCCAAGTTTCGTAAGATAAACATTATGAACAATATGGATGGGTATGTTAAATAAAGACCCAATTTTCGTAAGATAAACATCATGAACATTATGGATGGGTATGTTAAATAAAGACCCAAGTTTCGTAAGATAAACATTATGAACAATATGGATGGGTGTGTTAAATAAAGACCCAAGTTTCGTAAGATAAACATTATGAACAATATGGATGGGTATGTTAAATAAAGACCCAAGTTTCGTAAGATAAACATCATGAACATTATGGATGGGTATGTTAAATAAAGACCATTTTCGTAAGATAAATATTATGAACAATATGGATGGGTATGTTAAATAAAGACCATTTTCGTAAGATAAACATTATGAACATTATGGATGGGTATGTTAAATGAAGACCCAAGTTTCGTAAGATAAACATTATGAACAATATGGATGTGTATGTTAAATAAAGACAAGTTTCGTAAGATAAACATTATGAACAATATGGATGTGTATGTTAAAAAAAGACAAGTTTCGTAAGATAAACTTTATGAATCAGTTTTGCATTGTTTGAAATCGCTTTTTCTATGGTTCAGGAAATATGTTTAGTTTATGACAGGAGAAAATCGTCAGCCCATTATATCAATTCAACTAGAGCTATTAGGAGGTATAACATCAGTTCAAATATTCAAACTTCGATCTCTCAGATCATATAAAGTAGCTTAGAAAAGGACACTACGATAGACACAATTAACCGCAGTGTTTCTCAGGGTTTTGATTATGCTAGGCAGATTTCATTGAAGTCGTGTGTCATCTATTCCTGTCGTTATCATTCTATATGATGTCATAGCCATAGCCGTTGTTCTTGTCATCTTTGGAGAAAATACGGACGATGCTCTGGGGGTGGGGATGGATCAGCTGACTCTGCATTTACAGATAAATGTCCACTTCCATAAAATATTGGTTAGAACAGTGGGGGGGTGCATTTGCATTTGGGTTTGTATCGTTTTCCTCTTTATGTGCACAAGGAAAAGTGTGCTGATTTTATTGCATTATTACCCCCTTCTTCTTGTCACCAATCATCGAAATGAGTTCTACATTGGAAACAATATTTATAAGTGAATATATTAAACTGCGTCTATTTTCTGCTTATCCATTTCCTTTTTATATTTCTTAACTAAAGTTTTTCTTGTCTTTTGTGTTACGAACTTCCTTGTCTTGGACTATTTTCACAGCAATTATGGATTTTGGGAACGTTTTGATCCTCCTGTATGCAGAGCAAAATTGATCTGATATGCAGTTATTATTGGGTACCACGTACTATTCCCGTTTATTTGTTAATTTTAATATCATACAACACCTATCTCCGCTGGCTTCAACCCAAAGATAATTGCATTTCTTTCTTCGCATTTACTGTCATTCCATCGACAGTTTTGAATACCCCGTTTTACGACTTACATAACTATGTTTAAAGTGTTTCAAATCATTGGTGTCTTTTCGCTGCGTGAGACATTAAGAATTATGTAATATGGGCAAAATGCTTAGTCCTAGGTCATGCACGTGTTTTCCATCGCTGTGATTAAGACTAAATACCCTAATGTTCACGACACCTTCTCTGGCCTAATAAAATGATCTTGAGAGTTGTTTGTTGTTATAAATCGAATTGTGCGGGGTAAGTGGGTGGGTGTTTCAAAGCATTTGGAATCAATAATTAAATAATACAAAACCTTGTCTGGTTATGATAGATATCATAACAATCACGTTATATCTTTATATAGCATTTGTTTCAAGTTAACTAGTGGTCATACACAGCTGTAGAATGCATGTCTGGTTATGATAGATATGCATTCTACAGCTGTGTTTGACCACTAGTTAACTTGAAACAAATGCTATATAAAGATCTAACGTGATTGTTTTTCTCATGCTAGTTGATTTTTCAAAAGCTATGTCTTTGAATAACGCGAATGAAAGGAAGTACTTGATCGTCTGTAAATACATGGAGGTGATAGTGAGAAAAATTGTTTTCGCAAAGGTGGAATAAAATATTGCACTTTACAATAATCATCAATGTTAAGATTCAATGAAATGATATATTTGTTTTTTACTCATGAATCTACCTATTTCATGCTTATGAAAGGATGACAAACAAAGACGGTCCATAAGAGGGAACTACAAAGAATGCAATATAAAGCGGACAATTGTTCTAAAAAAATTTCAACAAAATCTTAATAATAATAATAATAATAATAATAATAATAATAATAATAATAATAATAATAATAATAATAATAATAATAATTTTGGTTTTAAAGCATACACTGCTGCAAAATATATTATTATTATTATTATTATTATTATTATTATTATTATTATTATTATTATTATTATTATTATTATTTCGTTAGAAAGACTTTAGCGGATCACGCTTGTACATACGTGACAAGGCGTCGGCAACAATGGAAAAGTCCTTAGAACAGAAGCAAAAAAATCGTCTCGTTGCATATTGTTAGGGGTAGTAACATCTTATTGCGGTCGGAGATTTTCAATAGTACTGCCGGATCAATATGTCGCATGGTCCGACTTTAAGACAACACCATTGCAACTTCTTTTGAAACTTTGGCCACTTCCTGAGGACTGACAAACCTTTCTATTAACTCGTGGGCTGTAGTATATCTCATCAAGCCTAGTATGTCTTGCAAGCAGAAATATTATTTTTCTTTGGAAGGTCTAACTTAGCAGCACAAATATTTATCTTTGTTGTTAATCGGTGGCGTTTATTTTATGTAACTCGGAACACGAACGAGATTTACAATGGCGAAGTAGCAAAAGACAAAGTGTATACCTTATAGGTGTGCAGCCGGTTTTCGCATCCATGATGAGTTCAGATATGAGTGAGAAATTTGATATTTTCCCACAGTTGAATTATAAGGACAAGCATACTGTCACGTTTATCAGCGTGTAGCACACCTTGGCTCGTGCTCCATAACTCTGTCTCTATCGAACAGACAGTGATACTAGTAGCAAAACAAAATTCCTGCTCAAGAAAAAAAGACAAATTCCTGCAATTGCGGTGCTAGCGTTATAAATATTTTACAAAATTTCTTTAAAACCAAGTACAAGAACAAACAACTTAAAATGGTTTGGCAGGGATTTCATGCGGTACACGAACCTGTTCTAGCTACTGATGCGCTATTATGCACCTGTTGTTCTTTACGCTGGTTTTAGATGAACATGTGCATGGTTACAGACATAGAGCATGCCTTCAGAAAACACAACTCCTAATTGTGTGTGTCTCCTAGACACACCAAAAATATCATCCTAATTTACACCCATCAGTGTCACCAAAGATAGAATTTGTTCGTACCTGCAGCATTTCTCACTGTTTCAAATGCGATGATTTTGCGGCGTTTGGTGTCTCATATCATGTGGTGGTTTTGTGTGATTTGTGTGATTTACGTGATTTGGATTCTTAACGTAGCTTTAGCAATGTTTCAGTCATGCGATGTGGCATTTTATAAGTAGTGTCTAGCACTGGGTCATGATGTTGCAGACATATAGCATGATGTCCCACCGTCACATTATCCTGACACCAGGCCGACCAGTCCTATCACTAATCTTTTAATCTTGAGTGCCCAGCGAGGTGGCTTTTAGTATGTATAAGTCTTTGGCATGACTCGACGGGATTCAAACTTACACGCCAGATAAAGACTCGTATAATGCTGCACAGTCCATCCTAAACGTTATAGTGCATGAATATGCAATGTAGCGCGGGATGTGGGTTGCTAATAACATTTATCTGATACCTATATGGGTTCAGGTTACAGGTGCAACAAGAGTCAGCCTCTGACCTCCGTATACAGCGTAGACATGATGTAGGCCCATCTCAGCAGCTTCAATAGCATCATTCAATTTCGAATGTCTAATCTGTATGCTCTGAGCAGCTAAGGCATCGTGTACCGTTCTAGATCTGCGATAAAACGTGACCATAGGATGGTTTGATTAAGGGATGAATAGCCCGCTTCTTCGCCTCACGTCGCGAGACAAACCGACCAACAACATTTAGACCTATCTAATCTCACCCAGGCTCCAACACTTAAACGGTCTCAAAAACCTAATGCAAGACATCAGTAGTTTTGGGATATACAAACCAAAAACCGTGATGGATGTCGTAAGCAAGTCGCGATTCTCTAACAATAGCAGCACTAGTACATCTATTAAACAGATGGGCATAACTCTATAGCAGGATGGAGCTATTTCGGTATGGACACCTGGCTATTATGGAAGGTTATGGACCCCCATGTAAAGGTGACGGTTGTTAAACGTCAGAGAGTGCGATAATGTTTGCTGATGTTTGCTTGACAGTGCCATAATATTAATGAAGGGCTCAGCGAGGAGTGATCGCCTAGTGACACGATAGACTCGAGGGTAGGCACCCCAGAACGAAGCAGGGCCTAGCGGGAAATTAAATTATTGTTACCACCAGAACTTGCGGCCAATAGCAAAGTGGATAAAACAAACAACAGGAGTGGAATTGGAAGCTGGTGTTCGGAAGAGAATCCATATTTCATTTACATATATGTAACACTGTTATTTGCATAAGAAGATTGGCATTAGTGTGCGTCATTTAAGCTTTAGTCAAAAGTCAAAAACCATCCCCAACAATCTAGAATGGACACTTCCAATAAATAATCATTGCATTTCCAGAAAATGCTAATTGTGACATAGGTAATGTGTATGTGTATATGTGTGTGTGATTTGGATTTTTAATGTACCTTTAAAAATGTTTTAGTCATCTGGCTACAGTGTCTGCAGTGTGGCAGTTTCTAGTGATGTTCTGCACTGTGGCATCAAGCCGCAGACATGTAGCATGATGTTCCACACAGTCACACCAGGCCGACCAGTCCTAACACTTAATGCTGAGCGTTAAGCATGAAAGCTGTCAGTACCATTTTTGTAAGTCTTTGGTAGGATTCTGCTGGGAATCGAACCCACGACCTCCCGCATCCGAAGCGGGCGCTTTAACCACTAGGCCACCGGAGCGGTTCTTATGTAATGTAGGGGAATTTATAATCTTGTTAACTCAAGAAATTGCTTATTCCTGCAACAGCAAACAGAAATCAGTTTTATCGTTGTGTTCTGTATTTTACTTGGGTAGAATTTATTTTTTCAAATTATTTATTTTTATTTATTCACAAAATACAAAGTGCTCAGCTATAATATTCTTGAAAAGAAACATTGGAAGTATATTGAATACAGACAATTACATTTTTAATTATATTATTGTGATTAATTGGAAGAATGTTATACGTCATTACACTTCAGGTTACTGGTATATCAGTGCACTCGAGATAACAGGCACAACAAATCCCTCCTTTAGGCTTCTGTTAGTGAGCCAGTTTGATTTTTGATATAAAAAAATAAACTTTTCGCGTTCTTGTAATAGTCTGTACAAACGACTTATTAGAACTATAGTAAAGTCTGTAAAATGTTATCAGGTTCATCAGCGTTCTTAATGAAAACCGATTCTAAATTATTTACGAAATATTATCAATAAATATTGAACAAAATGCCCTTAGTATCAAAATATATTTTTGTCAATTAATTGTCTCTTAAATTACATCGAGAATGTGTACATCATCAGTTTATTCTATAACATACGAGAAGTATCCAACCCTTATATAAACTAAGACCAACCAAACGGAAGACAAAACATCACGCCAACTTTGTTCGATCAGATCAATTATACGCAACATTCTCTTGTAAACTTAACACAAAAAGTAACAATTCTAGGTCGATATTCATAACTATATATCGCGTTACATGTCGTTTCGAAGCCTCAACGTACCACACTTTAAATATGTGTTGTTTGTTTTTTCTAGAAAGTTACATCTCGTACATTTACATATGTTGCATTATCATTTTTTTATTAATTTTAGGTATATCTTTTTATTTGTTTCTGTCTCATTTTCAGAAGGTCTGATATGCATCTGTTCACGACCATAAGCTTGCTGTTGTGCCAATTATATGGTGTGCTTCCTCTCGAAAACGGAAACATGAGCAAGATCACCGTAAGACATAATAACGTTTATGCCTCAGAAGAAGAGAAACCCTGTAATGTAACCATTCTAAACAAGACTGGGATATATTTAAGAGTCAAGTTTACCGAGTTTAACCCAGATGTTGCCCATTTCACACTTATGTTTCCAAAAAATTTCAGTGTCACTTGGAATGATGGGGCTTTGCAACCATTGCAGTGGATCTGGACTTTTAATGAAGACAGCAACAGCATTCCCTTCACTCAGTGGCATGTTGACTACACGATACTCTCATTCGGGCTTTTAGACACGAAGGCTCTTCGGAATACCTGGATTGCATTTGATGTTCAACCTCCGAATTGCTCTATCAAAATTGGAAGCCCAAAATCTGATCTGGAAATAGCTTATGCTTTCAGTAACATGACACGTACTTTTCTTCAGCCCCTGAATGTAAAATATCAGAACAGTTACTGGTGCTTTGCTGCCGAAATTCCTGGAGTAAAGGACACGATTTTGTATAAACTTGGAATTCATTTCGGATATCCAGTGGAGATTATGACATATAATTGCTGCTACTCTTACTTTTATTTTGCAGAGGAAAGACTGGATGTTAATTGTTCATACACACAGAGTGAGACGTGGCATGACACCACATCTGGACCATACTTCTTGGGATTAATTCTTTTCTGCTATTTCCCTATTCTCCTGCTCGGCTTCGCTTCAAGCATTTCAGATACAAACAAAGCAAGAAGCAACAAATGCATCTGGAGGCGCAATGGATATGTCTCTCTGGACAAAAATGAGGACAATATTGATTTTAATGATAATACGCAAACCTGTTTTGTGTATCTGGAAAATAGTCCAATAAACTTAACCTCCATTTTTTGTGGATTATGTGGTCTAGCTCACAGATTCCCAAAGCTTGCGTCACGCTTAAGAAGAATTCTCTTCGTACTTTTTTGTCCAATCCTGATATACATACAGCTGATCATCTATAGCACATTTCAAAATGAAACAACTCTTGAGCTAATCAACCACGGTGTTCCAGTGAACTTTCTCAGTATGCTAGGTGGGTTTCAAAGAAGTCGTGAATTATTCGTTCCTTTCCTTGGTGGACCTTTTGTCTTAATTACTCTGTTTTACACAATAGCCGTTGTTCTTGTCATCTTCCCGGAAAATCTGGCAGATGTTCTGCAAGACGGAACAGCAGAATTTGCATGGACAGATACATTCCCCCTTACACTTGGTTTAAATTCAGTTCAGAATTTTTCCCACATGCAAATAGGAGATGAGTGTGGCTTTGCTAGGATACGAGCAGCAATGATAGGGAGATTTTATTGCACTATAAATCCAAGATTCTGGTCTCACATCTGCTGTATGTCTGCTGCCAGGTGCGGGAGGGTTCTGTCATGCGTGAGAATGCATAGTCCAATTTACATTCATTACATAGCCTATATTGTTCTGATACCCATGTTTTTTCTAACATTTCTTACGGAGATTTTACTCTGCCTTGTGTATTACGGAATTCCCCTGCCTTGGTTTATTTTCACAGCATTTACAGCTTTTGGGAACGCTTGGATTCACATCTATAGAGACAGATTGGGTCTGACGTTGACAAGCGTTTCATCTTTCTGCACGATTATTGTTGGGTATCTGCTTCTCGTTCCAGTTCTATTTTACTTTTCTTACAGCACTATAATGATATTCTCCACTGGCTTCAACTTCGTAGCAGAAATAATTGTATTTGTTTTCATCGCAGTTATTGTCTACCCATCCACTGCATTCGGATACCTATTCTTTGGAACCGCACTGTTTTACTACGTATTGAAGCAACTTCGTGGAATAGGTGAAACCTATTTTGAACTTCTTTCGGATATCGTTGAGGTACTAACGGTGTTGAAAGCAGAACCTGACCAATTCCGAGTTGTTGATGGTACATTTCTTGCGCCCAAAGAAAGAAGTAACACCATACAAACGATTCAAATCAATGGATGTATGATGAAAGTGTTCCATGAGCAATCGTTCAAAATGAGTAGCACTCCAACACCTTCCAATGACTGTTTGATTCATTTTAAAAACAATATTCCGGGAATAAGAAAAGATTTATTTCGCTTTGTTTTGCAGAGACACAGACCTGTTTTTGTAACTGTATTCAAAGCGTTTCTGCGCATTGGTCTCATCGTATTGCTTTTGTTTGGGACACTTAGAATTACATCATATGCACCCAATACTTCATCGCAGGTCACAGAGGTCATGCATGTGATTTTCATTGTTATGATTGGATCTCTACCTCGTGCTCTTGAAGTCACCTTCTCTGATTCCAATAAAGTAGTCCTGAAAGAGATTTTTCTGAAACAGTTAGAATGGACAATTCTGACATACAACAGTGATTCACTCAAGGAGACAAACATGCAGTGTACGGCTGTATAAAGGTACCTTGTTGCCTGAGACCAACGACTTGTTTTCCCATCATATTTCTTTCCCATAAACAGTTATCTGGATAAACGTTGAATAATCTTTGAAATTTCAAATACTACATTTATAGATTATATATATCTAATATATTATTATATATGTACATATTTATATAATACTATATAACATATAATAAAAATTATATTACCAAATCTAAAAGTTTTCATCTATTGTATTAAATTCTGTTGAATCAATTCCAAAATTTGATTTTTTGCTAACATAATTTTATATTAAACATTTTGTGCATATAATTTTGACTTTCTTTTTATTACTAACATATGCAATCTTTAATTTTTATTCAATATTTTAATATAAACATTATTTTGTTAATATGATAATATTTCTTTAAATTTAGATGGCAATAGTTTTCGTTTGTTTGGTTGTATTTCTAAATTATTTTTTTTATTACTAATTCTTTCTCTCTATTTTCTCAGTTGACTCTCTCTGAAATTGAATTATATTTTAACTATCTTATATATGATCTTTTTTTTATATAATTTTTCATATATATTAAATTAAATATATAAAGATAAAGTCAGTTTTGAATACAAAATGATAATGTAGTTTTATAAAATCAGTGTATCCTAGCTGAAAATATATTATTTTCTATTGTAAAAAAAACATTTTAAATGTTAAGTTTTACCAATTTTCATTCCACAACATTGCTCAAATTTCCACATGAACAAAGTGTCAAATTATTATTTTTTCAAAATGGAATTTCTGAGTTGGACATTTTCCTAATTGTATGAGTCGTAATGTAGATACAAAGATGATATATTAACATTATATTACAATTTTTGTACATTAAATGGACTATGCTTTAATTTTTATAAATTTATTTTATTAAAACAAAAATTTACATATTTAAAAGAACTAAGGAAAATTAATTATTTTTTATGGATAAGTGCACAACTTTACCTTGTATGGGAAATGAAAGAATAACTTTAAATGATTACTATTCAATATCCTATAATTCAAAAATATTTCCAGATGCTGAAGCATTTAGTTTTTTAATTCAATGATTTTGAGTAAAACCTCTTGCTTTAGCTTTAATTTTAAATAAATTTTCCCATTCCCTAAGCTGGAATTAAAAATAGGATTTGTACAAGAAAATCCTATACAAAATGGGTATAGTATTAGTATTACAATATTTGTGTAAATTTATTACAATTATATCATACTTGACAATGAATTTAAAGAGCAAAATGTATATGCGTTAGTATTACATTGTATCTTTGTAATAGAATAATGTATCATGATATTTTGTTATACCACAATTTCAAATGAATGGAAAATCTGGTTTTTGTTATGACGTTTTAAACTACTTTAAATTTAAAAAAATGATCTATTTGACATGGTTTGTCTTTTTTTTACGCTAAAAATAAAAGCAAATTTCTGTAATTGGTAGAAATAATTGAATTTATTAAACAATATTCGTTAAAAAGAATATTGGATAATTTATTTTAAGCAAATTTTAACTTTTTAAATAGAATGTCTTATTAAATTAAGTAAAACAATTGCTTTA